ATGTGTGTGTGTGTGTGTGTGTGTGTATATATATATATATATACACATATACATATATATATATAATATAAAACAATCTCTCTCTCTCTCTCTCTCTCAGGTTATTAAGTGCAAAGCAGCCATTGCCTGGGAAGCAGGCAAACCCCTTTGCATTGAAGAGGTTGAGGTAGCCCCCCCCAAGGCTCATGAAGTTCGCATAAAGGTGAGTGGGGACGTGGGGACTTTCTCTGGCAAGGGTAGACTTGATTTGTATTGTGTCAAAATCCTAAGCATGGCCTGGGAATCTCAGGTGTGACTCACTGGCCTTGGAGTTTCCACTATGGAGGAATTACATTCTTAGGTTCAGGCAACAAAGGAATTATTCCCAGGAAAGATGAACTGTTCATTATTTCAGTAATTTTTTATAATAAAAGCTTAAAATTTAATTGAACTAGCTTAATATTAATTATTTATCCTAAGAATCACACAGAAGAATTTACTTTGGGTTAGAATTAGCTATGTTTTCCAATGGCCAGTTATTGGAAAGAGCTATTAAAAGGAAAACAGAGAATTTGGCTTAAACCAAGGGAGAAGGAGAAACTAACATGCTGCCCTGGGCAGCAAAAGGGTCCTGGGTGCCCAGAGGAAGGGACAGGCGTGGTCCGCAGTGAGGAGACTGCACCGAGAAGAGCGATAGCACCGATGGTGGCCTGGGCAATCCTCCACGTGCCCCAGGACCGGGCAGGCCTCCACGTTTCCTCGGGACCACCCCGTTAAGGTTTTGTACACGAGAATGAACAGGATGTTCTCATGAACAGAATCTTAAGGGAAAATGATACAGCGATACGTGAGTAATTAATTTAGACCATTCTTTATTCGGTATCTATCTTTTAACTACAAAAGGTATACTACGTCAATTCCATTTCCTGGAGTTCCAACAAAATTTAAAGAAGCCCTAGAAATCTGTTCCTTCCTCTTCTACTCCCTAATGGACTTAAATTTTCCTTATTACCTTAGATTTTCTTTCTCTCCTGCAGCCAATAATTGCCAATCTTTTTATTATTATTTTCTGACAGCAATGAAAGGTGGAAAACAAAGGTGCGTTACAAGAGAAAAAGAATCTAACCTAGTATATTTTTACTTGCTCTTTTTTTTTTGCTTTTTCCTTTTCCAAATGACACAGAGGCACTTTTCTTTCACTACCAGAGGTCACAAGCATTCGTCTAAAGGAGACAGAGACACTGAGAGAAAAGGAGAAAGCGCCCCCCTCCCCCCATCACAATGGGGTATGACCATGCTGCAACCCCTTCTCCCCTGTTTCTCCATCCTGTCAGGATTTGGGGCTCACACACACATGCATGGTGTGTTTTCCAAGCCACCTGGGCCAGTGTTATCCAGCTCCCTAAACACTAGACTACCACATCAGCCCTTTTCTTTCTTCTTTCAAAATATGATTATTTTACTTAGTTCTGGAAGCGTTTGTAAAGTTTCAAGATAACACAGGTCTGAAATGATATAGGACAACCTGCCCAATGGTAATAATTGCAGGAACATTACTCAAGTCTGTGATTGCTTTGCAGGTGGTTGCCACTTCCCTGTGCCAAACCGATGCCCATATTATCGATCCTAAATTTAAGGCAACTTTGTTTCCAATAATCCTTGGCCATGAGGGTGCAGGAATTGTGGAAAGTATAGGACCAGGAGTGACCAACTTCAAACCAGGTATTTTCTTTTCTGATTCCAATAAAATGGAAATGTCAGGATATTTCAGGGATAATTCCTGATACATCCTGGCTTTTCATTCTATGATTGATCTGTATTTACATAGGGAGGTCATATTCTTCAAAGAAAAGTTGAGACACAACCTATCACAGTCTAATAATGAGACAGGATATTTGAAATCAAAACTGTCTAATTAAATCTGGGAAACATGGTCCCTTTATTGACACATGGCACCAAGAAACTGTCTTATGAAGCCAAGGTACTGGGTTAACTTAAATTGAAGTCTCCCTGCCACACACGAATAAAACACATTATGACAGCTTTATAAAACAGAAAACTATTTTATAAAGAGAATGAGGACTTATAAATAGTGTAAATAAGAAGTATTATACATATGCCAATGTTAGCTTATGAGTCTTTCTAGAAGCCTATAAGATAAAAATAACACCTATATGAAGCATGCCAATAGTGCAAATTATTGACTTGACCTTTACAACAGATCTACCAAATACTGAACCAGGGGCTATGTAATCTTCACTAGTCAGGCAGGATGACCATATCACTC